AATTATTTCTTTTTCCGAGAATTTTTTTCCGAGAATTTTTTTTCCGAGAAATTATTTCTTTTTCCGAGAAATTTTTTTCCGAGAATTTTTTTTTCCGAGAAATTATTTCTTTTCCGAGAAAATTCTTTTCAAGAAAGTATTTCTTTTTTTCAAGGAAATTCGTTCTGAGAATTCTTTTCCCGAGAAACTCTTTTTATTACCTTGTTTAATTGTTAAATGTCTGCAGTTGACAAATTGGATTCTTTTTTTCCGATAATGTCCCTCTACACTTTCACTGCGTAGGTTTGCAAATTCCGTTCTTTTTTTCAAAAACGGCATTTTTTTCTTTTGCAACCTACTCCTACTCTGAGCTGTAAAGATACCTCTTCTGTTTCTGCCAGTTTGAGCACCGAAGGGTTACTATTGCGTTCTGCATCACCCTCGGCACTCAGTGGTATTGGACAGTCTTTTCTTTTCGAATTTTGATTTATTTAAATTCTTTTTTATTATTATTCTTTGCTTGATTAGGGAACTGTTCAGTTTGGGATCTGTCCGACCCTTCCCACCTGTCTGCCCCCTATCTGTTCCTCCCCCTCCAGTCCGGGCACTGGGCCAGTCCGTCAGATTGGCCCTCGAGTGCCTCTTCAGACTTCGGGCACAGCAGTGCATGACACTGCTCACTCGATCGCAGACCAAGGCCATGGACCGGAAGGCGGGGGAATCCCTCCTGAGCTATGAGGAACGCCTGGCGGCATTCATTCAGGAGGCCAACGATAGGGCCGCCGCCGCGGCCAAGGAACGTCAGCAGCTTGAACAAGAGGAGGAGGCCAAGCGACAGAAGGAGGAACAGGACCGACTTCGTCAAGAGGAGGCAGACCTGCAGGCGGCAGCTGAACACCGGTCACGCCAGCGGGAACGACTGTTCACACGGGAGACCGTGATCGGCGATGAGGCCGCACGTTGGGTGGAAATGGCATCTACAAACGAGGCCCCGGAGACTGAGAAAGGGCTGTCAGCCCTTGCACAGGTCTCCCACGACCTCGTGGCCACCTGCGCTCTGCAGCAGGAGGAAATCCTCCACCTGCAGCAGACAGTGGACCAGATGCTCGCACGGCTGC